GGAGGAACGACCTCTCAAAAACACAGGGAACTTTCCATAAATCTCTGGGAATTTATGGCCAGGGTAATGATGGAAGGAAGGATGATGCAGACGAGGCTGTTTCTACTGAAAACACTTCAAAATGCCCCTCGGTGCAATGATTGCTTTTAAATAAGCAGGAGCAAGAAGTTGGTTGAGAAATTAATTCACAGGAAGGCCTGTGGTGCCTGCAGGCAGTTACAAGAACACTGCAGGCAAGGGCATGCCCAGCTGGGCTGTGGGAGCAGCTCCCTGAGCAGAACTGAGCAGATAACCCCTTCATATCACACAAATACTAAACTGAAGCCTGGGATCTGCCTGCAGCAGGACGGAGATGAAGGCGCTGCAGCCCCAGCACTCATGGCCAAGTTCTGCCATTTGGGGCACCCGAAAGCAGCAGGCCCTGGAGGTCCATGGGACCGACAGCCAGTTTTAGACATGATGCCCTGCACTGCAATGATGACGACCTGTGGACGTGGGGAGAATGTCACGATGAAGGCGTGAGGCGGCCCATGCACTTTCACAAACAGCCGCCCCTGAGGCTAAAAATAAAGACATCATCAATTTCCAGGTCCTGAAAGATACTAAAAACACGAAGTCTGAGAATCAAAGTTGGCTTAGACACGTTCATCGGCACTGGTGGGGCTGGGGCGGGGCTGAGGAGCAGGCCCAGGTGGCCTCAATCCCAGACCACTGCATGTGGTGGCGTCACTTCTGTCCCTTCACCCTGGGCTTTGTGCCATGTGAGGGTCACCGTTTTGTGCATCGGGAGCCTCTACACATGGCCCTTCATCCATGGCCAGGTGCCATTTCTACATGTGTCCATGCAGATGATGAAGACATGGGCGTAGGAGAGAAACCACGTTTCAAAATGATGCCCTTTGTTTACAGAATGTGGCTCTTCAGTGAATTTGAACAAGAGCAAAACAGGAATGACCCAAACCTTTTGCTTCCCGCTCCACAAAGCCCAGCTTTCTATTCAGCAAGAAAAAGTCTGAGTGTAACAGAGACAGGCAGGAGAGTACGTGAGGTTTACGTGGGTGTCCCTTCCTGGTCCTGTTCCTCTACAACTGACACAGCAGTTTCCACGTCCTGGTCTGAGCTCTGGAACTGCGGCTGGAGGCAGACAGCCTGAGGGTCACTGCCATGACTTCACAGAGGTGAATAATGGCCAAGGAAAGTGAAATGACTTGTTGGGGTAAATGGAGTGATGGGACTCAAACTCAGCTTTTTAACTCTTCAGATCGGAGCTTTGGCCAATCTTTCAAAGCAGCCATTGTTTATCTGTAGTTTAACGGGTAGCGGGAAAATATTTTGCTGAAATACATGGTATTCCGTTCACCATTATGGAGCATTTCCTGGCCACAGCCAGGTGTGGGGCACTGGGCCCAGGAAGGTTCAAGGTTGAAGTGAGATCAAGGTCAGCCTCAGCTGCACTGAGAGGAAGGGCAGCAGCTCCCGGCACCTAGCTCAGGAAATCAGGAGCAGCCAGGAGATGGCATGCATGGCAACTGATCCATGCCAGGCAGAGACAGAGCCACAGTCAGTAACCCAGGCCCAGAGAAGAGTGAGACACCCAGGAACTGGAAGAGGGGCCGAGGGCTGCTTAACCTTGGAGAGAACATATACAGAAAATCTTAGGGAATCTACAAGAACCAGTGCAACTGGCAAGAAGTCAGCAATGCTGCTGGGTATGACTGACACACACTCCCAAGGTGACAGCCCTCGCCACCCGCTTTAGCAGCAGTCTCCCCTGTTTTTGTTGGAACACCAAAGCCGTGCCTGAGCACTTGGGGTGTGGGGAGGCCATGGTCAGGGCGGAGACAGAGAGAGCAGAGGGGCCACGGTCAGGGTGGGGACAGAGAGAGCAGAGGGGCCACGGTCAGGGTGGGCGCAGAGGGAGCAGAGGGGCCATGGTCAGGGCAGGGACAGAGAGAGCATAGGGGCCATGGTCAGGGCGGGCAGAGAGAGAGCTGAGGGGCCATGGTCAGGGCAGGGACAGAGGGAGCAGAGGGGCCACAGTCAGGGCGGGCGCAGAGGGAGCAGAGGGGCCATGGTCAGGGTGGGGACAGAGAGAGCAGAGGGGCCACGGTCAGGGCGGGCAGAGAGAGAGCAGAAGGGCCACAGTCAGGGCAGGGACAGAGGGAGCAGAGGGGCCATGGTCAGGGCAGGGACAGAGGGAGCAGAGGGGCCACGGTCAGGGTGTGGACAGAGAGAGCAGAGGAGCCACGGTCAGGGCAGGCGCAGAGGGAGCAGAGGGGCCACGGTCAGGGTGGGGACAGAGAGAGTAGAGGGGCCATGGTCAGGGCAGGTGCAGAGAGGGCAGGGGGCCATGATCAAGGTGGGTGCAGAGGGAGCAGAGGGGCCACGGTCAGGGCGGGGACAGAGAGAGCAGAGGGGCCACAGTCAGGGCGGGGACAGAGAGAGCAGAGGGGCCACAGTCAGGGCGGGGACAGAGAGCAGAGGGGCCACGGTCAGGGCAGGCACAGAGAGAGCAGAGGGGCCACAGTCAGGGCGGGGACAGAGAGAGCAGAGGGGCCACGGTCAGGGTAGGCACAGAGAGAGCAGAGGGGTTGCGCCGGACCCAGGGGTCTGTGGGGAGCTCATGGCCTTGGCTGGGGACCTGATGGCCTTGGCTGGACTTGAGTTCACAGGGCTGTGAGTGGTTTTGGTGGGGGACACAGCAGGGGCTTTGTGGGTGGTGTGCAGTGAGAATGCGCAGTGCAGGGTACGGGCCTGTGGTTGGGAATGCCTGTCAGTGCCTGGAGAGCAGGGGCAGTGAATCTGGCTGAACACAGCCCAGTGTGGTGGCTTCAGTAAGCACAGGCAGGTCCTGGTGGCTGGCGCAGTGTGGACACAGGGGTAAGGAGGAGGCCAGGTTTCAGTGTCAGTAACTGGACAGTGGAGCTGACAGAATCTGGCCCAGGGAGCGCCACGGAGGCAGCAGGAGCCTCGGTTGCTGTAAGCTCCATACACGCTCCGTTACACACTCACAGAAGAGGGAAGGGTGACCTTTCCCAGCTCCACAGCCGTGGCCTCTCCAAGGTGTTCTTGGCACTCCCTGCTCTGTGATTTTGCTAAGCCCTCCCTTTCCCTGTGTGGACAAGGAGCTCCAGACCCAGCTGCAGGGGACTAAGTGGGGTGCCGGCCTGTCACACGGTAGCTATGCGGCCGCTGCTCCCTCACGCGGGTCCTGCTTCACTGGTAAATAAGCTGCAAATTGACGCTGAGTTCACAGGGCTGATGTGGGAATTAAGAGACTGCATGTGAGAGCCACTGGACAGGGCGCCACACACACATGTGCTCATGAGCACACGCACACATGGCCACCCCGCACACATGTGCACGCAGCACACATGGATACCCCGCACATGTGTACACACACACATGGCCACCCGCACACGTGCACGCAGCAGCTGGCTGACGTCCAACGGAGAACGCAGACCTGCTCTACAGGCCTTCTAATGAGCTGCTGGGGTTGGTCTGCTTCAAAACCAGGCAGGGAGCAAAGCCAGCCTTGCCCTGATGCCGGCCCCTCCGTCACGCTCTCCTCACCCACGGCGCCCTAGAGTGAGACTGGCATGGCTTCTTCCTGGGCTCCCTGGCCACCTGGCTCCAACCCCACCTCAGTATCACACACAGGTGCCCTCTGTACAGCAACAGCTAAAGGTAAAGGCATTTCTGGGACGTCTCTGTCCCCAACATTCCTGCAGAGGGCAACATATCCCCCACTCCATTCCCAGCACACACCCTTTGTTCCAGAATCTTCACGTTCCGTAAACGAGCCCTTCCCAGTGCCCTCACACCGCTCTGCACAGCTCTCCCCTCCACTGCGGCACATGAGGAGCTTTCGAGAGCTCTCTGCAGCCCTGAGCCTTCCACAGCTTCCTTCGAGAATCACACCTGCTATCACCACTGGGTGGACGAGGTCCCCCAGTCTTGGGCTGGGCCAGCCAGTCCTCTCTAGAAGGCTCCATGAACTGTGGCTGGTCACACAGGCTCGAAACCGAGAGTGGCCTCTCCCCACCCCAGCTCAGTGCCGCCCTCTCTGAGGCCCTCCTGCGACCTCCTCAGGCCACCCTCCTGGAGGAAAGTGCTCCCCACCCTGTGCTTCCCCACAATCCACTTGACACCGAGGCCAAGCAGTGCTTCATTCTTTGGTGTCTTCATTCCAAAATCTTTAGTAACCCCTACACCTGTGAAATAAAGCTCAACCGGGTGTGCCTGGAACTGCACATCCTCTGCGTAGATGGGGCATCCCTGAGTGTCCCCGCACACAGGCCACACAGAGTGGCCAACCCTCCTCTAAGCATCTTCCCAGCCCATTCTGCCACGTCCATGTCTGTGCCCCCACCTGACATGCACCCTTCCAGGCCCTTCCCAGGACTTCCAGTTCAGCACAGGCCAGTCCTACCCACAGGGGGTCTCAGCCTCGCTCCTCCTGCAGAAGGTCTCTGTCTCCCAGCAGGCCTGTGCCACTTGCAATCCCAGCCCGCGCCCTGGATGACTGAGGGGTGAACACGTGGCTGCAGGGCTGCAGGTGTGAGGGTCAGAGCTGATGCTCATCAGAGAGGGCAGAGCCAGGCAGCCCGTGTAAGGGGTCTGCCTGGCCCAGACCACCTGTTCAGCGTTGAGGAGGGGGAGCACAATGGCGGGCACGGGAGGGGCCAATGCGGGCTTTGGGTGAGGCAGGCCAAGTTTACTGCCATGCAGGATTGCTTTCTGACAGGGTCAGGAGCCTCACAGGTGGTCAGGGACAGGCAGAGGGACTGAGTGCAGGGCACCAGGGAAGGCCAGGGGCAGGACAGGTAGGTGACAGCCACGCACAACCCAGAGGTAGCTGCTGAGGCAGAGCGTGTTCCACTTTAACCTCGAATGGAGGTGTCTGGAGAGGGGGCGGGCTGGAAGTGCAGGGCTCAGCATCCCTGGGGAAGGGTTGGCTGGTTCACATCACCCTGGGAAGGAGAGTGGGGATGACTCACACTGTCCACTGCGAGGATCTTGGCCCAGATGAACACGAGAAGTGGCCGCAGCTCTCGGGCCGAGCTCTGGAGCAGCTTCAGCACGTAGGGGAAGATGCCGACAGACAAGGCCTGGGGAAAGGGAGGGTGTCAGCGCGTCAAGGCTCTGCCTGTGCCCGCAGGAAGGGAATCGCAGCAGCAGGGGCCATGCAGAGCCCGCTGTGGTGTCATCTTCAGCACATATGAGAAACGAGACAGGAATGAATGGGCCTCGCTGAGAGTAAAGCAGGGTTTCCTCCAGATTTATCTGTCTCTCATTTACTCCTAGAAATTGCCACGTGTCACCAGCCTTGACTGGTGTCAAGAGACCAGAATTAATTGGGTGGCAGCTTTTCTTTGTTGAGGCACAGGCTGCTGGTGCCGGGGCCTGTGCCCCTCTTCGGTGGCCTTGTCTGCTTCAGCAACAGAGCCTCAGGCACCTTCGCTGTTTCACTCATGTATGGGCCGTGACAGTGTGGCCAGCTGGCTCACACTGACATTTGTGCTTGAGATACACCTTGGGAGAGAGACGTCTGCCCTGACAAAGGCAGGGAGGAGCATGGCTCTCCCCGGGGCTCACTGGCACCCATATCTGGCCACATGTCATTCTCCAGGGACTCTGTCCTCAGAGGCAGGGGAAGGAGAGCGGAGGGCATTGCAGTGTGGATGATGCCGGGCACAGTGGGCTGCACTGGACAGCCAGGGGTTTCTGCTGGGTCCTTATCTCACAGCTGCTGGAATTTCAAAGCTATCCCAAAGGCATCCCCTTCCAATAAATGAGGTCCCCTGTAACCAAGACAGGAGATGGTGGTGGGACCCAGGCTTGGGTCCCTTCCCTTTGTAAGGCCACATTAACAAGGAAGGAGGAGTTTCTCTGGTTCAGGAGGCCAGGCCCCCACCTGAGAGCCAAAACCTGTACCTGTAAAAATACCTCATTTATCCAGCCTTGCTTCATGCATCAACACTTCCAATGAGCAGAAGCTTAATTCTTTAAAAGGCAGAAATTGGTTTTAAAAAATTAACCTTAAAAATGAAAGTTGGCCGGGCGCAGTGGGTCAAGCCTGTAATCCCAGCACTTTGGGAGGCTGAGGCGGGTGGATCACGAGGTCAAGAGATCGAGACCATCCTGGTCAATTTGGTGAAACCCCGTCTCTACTAAAAATACAAAAAATTAGCTGGGCATGGTGGCGCGTGTCTGTAATCCCAGCTACTCGGGAGGCTGAGGCAGGAGAATTGCCTGAACCCAGGAGGCGGAGATTGCGGTGAGCCGAGGTCGCGCCATTGCACTCCAGCCTGGGTAACAAGAGCGAAACTCCATCTCAAAAAAAAAAAAAAAAAAAAAAATGAAAGTCTTCCTAAAATGCTATGAATACACGCTTCCTGTCTTCTTAAAGAGTGTAAGCAATAGCACGCAGGCCTTTCCAGGATGACTCAGTGATACCACCACACACACCGAGTAACCGAGTCATGTCAGCCCTCCACCGATGACTCAGGCCTCCACTCTGTTACAAGCTATTTGTGGCCTCAGGGACCTGGGGTGAAAACAGCCTAGTGATGAGTGCCAAATTGTTCTTCCTAGTTTTGGATGATTTCTCTCCTCCTTCAATGCTAGACAGTCAATCACCACCCATTGCCAACATTATATGACGACAACACTTAAATACACCAAACCCAGGTAGTCCCCACCCCACTTCCGTGACAGTGGTTCTGCAATGCCTGCCCCACTGTGCCTCTCCCAAGCGTGGTAAATTAGGGTTTATATGTCATGTGATTCATTGAATATTTAGTGTCTATCTCTAAAAAAATTAGGTCTCTTTCGTAAAAACACGATCCAATACCATTACCACACCCAAGAAAAACAATGATTCTTGAATGCCATAAATCCAGCTCCCATAAAATTTCTAATTGCTCCATGAATATTCAACTTTGGAACTTCAACAGAACCCAGTGAGGTCTGCTGGCCGCAGCAGCTGGCACGGGACTCTTCCAGCTTCCTGGAGTCTGCGGTTCCCTCTAAGCCTCCTTTCACTTTCCTCGTGAGTTATTTGTTAAAACGCTCGTCACTTCTTCATCCTGCCTCTGCCAGGCTTTTGTTTTTGTGGCCACCACGACTCTGCTATGGAATGAGGAACCAGAAGAGCATTTCCAAACTGTGCCTGCCAGGAGGCTGAGCAGACAGGGCTGAGAATTCAGACTCCTCCCGAGAGAAGCAGCAGCACCACGAGGTAGGCGCAGTGTCAGGCTCAGGGGCGCCCTGCTCCTCGGCAGCACTGGGTGGCTGCTCAGGAGCAGGGGATCTGCCCACAACATGCTCTCCTGTGTCTAAAATCAGACATAAAGGGGGCCAAAAACCCCAGAACCCCAAATGCCAGGCAGCACTGCAGGCCGCACAGGCACAGAGTGCGCTCCTGAGGGCCTCAGGATCGACAGGACGCCACCACGGTGGAAACTCGCCCCGGGTCTCATGGCTAAAGGCGGCTCTGGATCCTGAAACATATGCACAGACTGAAACATGGAGCGTAATTTCTGCCCCACCTCCCTCAGTTCCCAGGTGGATGCAGAAGGCACGCACCAGGCTCACCGCCCAGGGACCCAGGTCCAGAAATCTTCCCAGCAAGTCCAGTGCTCTCAGCCTGTGTACTTGGCTTAACAGCACCTAGAAGAACAAGAAGAAAATGGGGTCAGTGTGAAAGCAAACTCATGTGCAGCCCCTGAAGAGCCTCTGCCACGAGCTGCCAGCTTTGGAGCGGTCCGATCACACAGTTTCCATCTGTCTGCTGCTTCAGCCACTCAGTTACCTATAGCTGCAGCTCATGCTTTTAGACAGGTTAAGAAAATACTCTTTATGCCTTGATTACACAGGTAAAATAGGTTTAATGTAGGAAGTATGAGAACAGACACGTTCTGATTGCATTTAAAAAGCTAACTCGCTGGTGACATTTCGGCATGGGAGCCCCCACATTGGCCTCTATGTACACACTTCTCTTTAAGATTCCAAACTAGATAATACAGAATTACATTGTTCCTCTCTTTTTCTTTCTTTGAGAAGAAGTCTTGCTCTGTCACCTAGGCTGGAGGGCATTGGTGCAATCCTGGCTCGGTGCAACCTCCGCCTCCTGGGTTCAAGTGATTCTCCTGCCTCAGCCTCCTGAGTAGCTGGGATTATAGGCACCCACCATCATAGTGGCTAATTTTTGTATTATTAGCAGAAATGGGGTTTCACCATGTTGGTCAGGCTGGTCTCGAACTCCCAACCTTAGGTGATCTGCCTGCCCCAGCCTCCCAAAGTGCTGGGATTCGAGGTGTGAGGCACCGCGCACGTCGTTCCACATCACTAGGTAAGGACTGGCCATATCACTCCCAACTGCAACACAGTGCTTCCTTTATGTAAATGTACACAATTCTTTTAAACAACTTCCCCACTGATAGATATTTAAATTATCATCAAAATGTTCCTACTTTTAAAATTGTTATTTATTTATTTTTGAAATAGGGTCTTGTTCTGTTGCCCAGGCTAGAGTACAGTGACCTGATCATGGCTCAGTGCAGCCTCAAACTCCTGGGCTGAAATGATCCTTCCACCTCACCTCTGAGTGGCTGGGACCACGGGTATGTACCACCACGTCTGGCTTATCTTCATATTTTATACAGATGGGGTCTTCCTACATTGCCACGCAGGTCTTGATCTCCTGGCTCAAGCATTTCTCCTGCCTCAGCCTCCCAAAGTGTTAGGCTGCTCTTATAAATAATACTGTGGTCAATATCCTAACAGATACGTCTGCACATTCAGATGATTTTTTCCCCTAAGATAAATCTGAGTACTAAAAAGAGAAGGTCGGAGCACATATGCTTAAGTTACCAAATGACCCTCTGGCTGAGCCCACTCACACTCGTGATGGCACGCACGTCAGCTCAGCTTCCTGCCACCTGAGCTGGTCACCCAGCAGTGTTCACTGAGGTGTGACTCTGGGTAAATCACTGAACATCGCCGAGCCTTGATTTATTAATTCATAAAACACAAATGACACAACACCTGCCCAAGAGGCTTTCATAAATAATAAATTACTTGTGGGACAATAGCAGCCCTTATTACACTATGACTGGCCAACAGGACAGGTGAAAATATATCCTTTGAGTCTGGATTTCTTGGATTTCAAGGGGAGCACATTTTGCAGGTTGACGGGCCATTTCTCGAGTAAACTTCAGTGTTCTACTTCAATAGTTGGCTTTTTCTTATTGACGTGTCAGTGTTCCTTATAAATTAGAGTGGGCTTTGCCAGAGGTTTTGCACATATATACTTTCTTTTTGTCGTTATATCAAATTTTTACATTTTTAATGGTTTTACTTCTATTGATTTTTCCTTAATGGTGTCTACGCTGGGGGGCATGTGCACTGAGACCCTCCGACCCAGAGCATTTCCATCCATGATGCTCCAGTTATCCAAGGGGTGCTTATGGGGCAGGTGCTGCGCTGGGTGCTGGGAGAGTGACCACGGACAGTAGGGACCACCCTGCCCATCCTTCACGTGGCCGGGGAGACAGGCAAGTGACCGTTCCATTGCCACACATGAACACACAGAGCTGTGAGCCCTGATCTGGCTCCAGAAACCGGAGGCCTCCAGGTTTTTCCCTTCCTCCCTGGGAGAAGATGCACAGGACACAGGTGGGCAGTGGGTCCTGGAGGTGACGTGAGTGGGTTACTGCGGTGCCGGTGAAGAGGCTGGAAGAGATCGGGTGTCTGAGGACACGCAGGCTGCCAGTCTGACTGAGGACAGCGACGGGGGAGGGCCAGGCCGGGAAAGGCCCCGCAGATGGTGGCGTAGAGGCCAGTTTGTCTGCTGACTGGTCCAGTGTGCTTGCTTTGGGAACAGGCTTGGCAAGAGGCTGGAAGTGGGGGAGGCGAGTGGAAGGGGTTGAGCTTGACCAGGGTGCTGAGATGGAGATGGGGAGAAAGAGACTCCAGTGCTGTCTACAGGCTGAGGGAAGAAGGGGTGAGGGAAAGCAAACTCTGGAAAAGAAGGTTTGGGATGAGTCTGAAAACCCTCAAGAGAGGTAGGGGAAAGGGACGAGGAGGCCAGTGGGGTTGGAGCTGGGGTGGAGGACAGTAGGGAGGGAAGTGGACAGGGCCACGTGAGTCATACTCCTGGGGGTTGGCCAGCACGACTTCCATGGAGGAGCCACTGAGTCAGGAGCATAGGCCCTTGGAAGCCGTGGAGGGGGAGGAGCTACCCTGTGGTGGGAGAAGAGCGCCGGCAGGAGGACGAGGGGGACAGAGAAGGTCACAGGTGGCAGCAAGAGGGTGAAGGCCAGGCTGGAGGGGCAGGAGATGGGGTGTTGGGGGATCCCAGCCTATCCAGCCTTGAGGGCAGAGAAAGAGCAGCAGGAATGAGGCCTCACTTTCTCTCTAAGTGCCCAGAGCCAGCTCCTATGCTGGGTTCAAGGTGGACCCACGAGTGGCGGGTTCCCCATGCTGGCGATGCTGAGAGTCTGTAATTAAGAGGCTGGGAAAGGAACGTGGACTGCTTGCGGGATTCGTGAACTGGAAGCAGATCCCTCTCCCATGCTGAACTCAGAGGCTGTCGCAGGCCACTGCTGCCTGGAACCCAGGTTTGAGGGGCCAGTCGGTGGAAAAGCATGGGTACTGGGGCCAGGGTAATCTGATGTTAACCCATCCTCCATCTCTGCCCAATTATTGGCTTAAATTCCTAACTTCTGGAAACTTCAATGCCATTATCAAGAAAAATGGAGCTGGCTTGGCGTGGTGGCTCACACCTGTAATCCCAGCACTTTGCAAGGCTGAGGAGCATCAGGTCAGGAGATCGAGACCATCCTGGTCAACATGGTGAAATCCCATCTCTACTGAAATACAAAATATTAGCTGGGTGTGGTGGCACGCGCCTGTAGTCCCAACTATTCAGGAGGCTGAGGCAGGAGAATTGCTTGAACCTGGGAGGCGGAGGTTGCAGTGAGCTGAGATCATGCCACTGCACTCCAGCCTGGCGACAGACACTCTGTCTCAAAAAAAAAAGAAAGAAAAAGAAAAATGGAGACAACAGTACTTGACTACTTGACTTGGGCTTATTCTCAAAGTTCAAAGAGACAGACTCTGTAAAGCACACAGAGCTGTGCGCACCAGTGAGCCCAGCAAAGGTAGTCGCCATCGCTGCATTCAGCTTGCGGATGTCCCCACCACTCAGTGTTCTGAGGACTGACTCTGTGTAGGCAGAACTAGGTTGCCTGAGGCTGGAGTTTCTAGATGACCCAGGGATAGGAGAGGAGGCAGGCCTCGTGGTGGCTGCAGTCCTCAGAACTAAAATACATCATCAGATTTAAAGCTCACACAGATCGCTTTCTGAGTGTCCATGTTATTTCCCAACACTGAACAGGGACAAGCCTCTGTTTCTAAGGGCAAGCAGCGGTAGGACAGGGCGGAGAGGTCTGACCAAGACCAGCTCTTGCTACTGTTTTACCAGCACACTAGCAACAAAGGTCTCTCTAGAAAGTGCTCCTCACAAACAGCAAAAGCAAACCGGATGCCGGTTCACAACCACAGCCATGGAGTGGTCCTGAGCGGCACACTGAAGGAGCTGCGGTGCTGCCCAACAGACGCTGGGGCCTTGGCAGCCCACCCGCCTGGGAGTCGGCACTGGAGGACTGCGGGCAGCGCCGGATTTGCTGCTGCGATGATTCCATTTGTGAAGAAACATCGCCAATACAGAGTACAGGGGAAATGTCAGTACTGTTTCTTTTTCTTCAAACATTACATTATCTTCCTGCTTCCTTTTGCTGATTTACATTTTTTAAAAACTGAAGCCACATAAAGCAAAATTACTTTTAAAATAGGATTGGCTTTTAGAAAAATTTGTATTTGCACTTAAAACAACAAAAAAATCTCCTGTTACAGACCATCCCAGGATCTATGGAAATTATAGAAGTAAAGGATGCTGAGCTGAATGACTTACTGAGATTTATTTTCACCTGTGGCAACTCAAACTGAAGATTAATCATGGTGGCCGGCATGGTGGCGGATGCCTGTAATCCCAACACTTTGGAAGACTGAAGCTGGAGGATCGCTTGAGGCCAGGAGCTCAAGACAAGCCTGGCCAACATGGTGAAACCCTGTCTCTACGAAAAATACCAAAATGAGCTGGGTGTGGTGGTGCGTGCATGCAGTTCCAGTGACTCGGGAGGCTGAGGCAGGAGGGTGGCTTGAGCCCAGGAGTCGGAAGCTGTAGTGAGCGCTGATCACACCACTGCAATCCAGCTGAGGTGACCACATGAACACAGAACTGCTAAGGTTATTGAATTTCATTTGCCTTGTATACAAAGGAAGTGCTCGGACAAACCAGAAAAGCTGCTTCCTAAGAAAAGATTCTCCAGTCCAGACCTGCAGTGCTGGGCACTGCAGGTCAGGGTACCTGTGGCACCTGATGGGCAGGGCGGTTCTGGAGTCCCCGATGCATATGGTGTGTATAATATCACTCTAGTGTGTCATTCTGCCATCACTTGGTAACAAGCCTGTACTTCCAGGTCCCAAATTCTATTTGTAAAAAAAAAAAAAGATACATGGAGAGAGAGCAGACTTCCTAATGAAATGCTCACACTGATTTGTGACGTCTAGGAAAAGGGACTAAAACTTCATCCTATAAAATCACTCCTGGCCAGGCGCAGTGGTGCACACCTGTAATTCCAGCTACTTGGGAGGCTGAGGCATGAGAATCGCTTTAACCCAGGAGGTGGAGGCTTCAGTGAGCCGAGATCACCATCCACAGAAGACTGGATGAAGAAGCTGCAGCATATAAGCATCACGGAACACTGCTCCGCCAGAACAAGAAGGAAATCATGTCTTGCAGCAATGTGGGAGAAACAGGAGGCCATCGTGCTAAGTGGAATAACTCAGAAACAGAACACCAACTATTGCATGTTCTCACATCTACGTGGGTGGGAGCTAAAAGACGGGCCCACAGGGACACACGGGTGGAATAAAGGACGCTGGAGACTCCAAAGTGTGAGTGGCTGAGGCTGAGAAACGACCCATGGAGTAACAGGTTCACGCGAAGCCTAGACTTCACCACTACGCAGTGGACGCACACAAGAAACCCACACCCGCATCCCCTGGGTCTGGTTAAAAGAAAAAGGGCCAAATAAACAAATGAATACATAAATATCACCCTCACCGTTGTCCTGAAAAAGAAAGAAGAGGAAAAGTCACTTTCTCTTCTCTCTTCCATAACATAGGTGCTCTTTATTCCTCTGCCTGGGGGGGCACACGGTCCCGAGTTCCAGGCAAGCTGCCAAGGCCAGAGGACACACGCACCTCGCAGGCCACGAGAGGCTGGAGCTCCTCGTGAGAAGACAGTGCCCAAAGGACACCATCAATCCAGGGTCTGGGCAAAACAGCAACTTTTTTGAGACGGAGTCTTGCTGTGTCGCCCAGGCTGTAGTGCGGTGTCAGGATCTCAGCTCATGGCATCCTCTGCTGCCCGGGTTTAAGTGATTCCCCTATTCCCCTGCCTCAGTCTCCTGAGTAGCTGGGACTACAGGCATGCGCTACCATGCCTGGCTTTTTTTTTGTATTTTATTTGAGACAGGGTTTCACCATGTTGGTCAGGATAGTCTCGATCTCCTGACCTTGTAATCCGCCTGCCTTGGCCTCTCAAAATACTGGGATTACAGGTGTTAGCCACTGTGCCTGGCCCAAAACAGCAATTTTTTAAAACACTGTTAACTTCCTTCTTGCTCCTCTGTTGATTTATATTTCTAAAAGGCAGAGAGGATATTGAGGCTGGAGAGCAGGAAAGGCCTGTTCCATGCTCACACAGGAGAGGCCGCAAATCAGTCAGGCCTGATGAGACACCGAGAGACCCTGGAGGGCCACCCACCACTGCCCTGGCTCAGGGATGAAGTAATGGGCTTCGGAAAACCATCAAGTGTGTAAGAAAATTCCCTTTCCCTTAAGTAATGTTTTCTGACTTGCCAAGGCACTAGAGAATAACTTAAGGATGACAGGGTCCAGGCTTTGGGAAAAATAAAGGCTCCTAAGAGAAAGCGTGAGCTGAGTTAATGAGAAAGAAGCCGGCCCTGGGGGCTATGTCAAATGAAGCTCATGCCCCGTTACACTTCGTCTTTCCCTGCTTTCTTATTAAGTAGAGGTTCTCCCGTTGATCCTGGCTGGGCACAGCCAGGAGACAGACCCTCCAGAAAGGGGAGGAACCTGCCACTCACATCTGCTGGAAGACAACATAGGAAATGCCCCGCGCTCCTGCCAGAGCTGTCTTCTCGTATGTCACCGTCAGAAAGCTGCCTCCAGCAGGTCTTCCCTTCCCTGGGGGAGTGTGGGTGCTAACGGGACACTAAAGAATGCCGTTTACAGAAAGATCATTTGCCAGACCCGAAAGAACTGGACTTGGTGTGCTTGTAAGTACCCTACTTTGGAGAGGTTGATTTTACTGTCACATTGCTCAAATAGCAGGAAGGTCAGTGGGAGGGCCAGCGTTGTCTGAGGGACATCCTGGGGTCCCAGGCAACCAAGAGGAGCCGCGGGGCCCTGCCTAGGCAACCCATGCTGTGGTTGCCCCGGTCAGCTGTGGCTCCCACAGCCAGCTCCGTCCTGCACTCGCGGGAGGGGGAAGCGCAGGCTCTGTCCTGCACTTGTGGGAGGGGAAGTGCAGGCTCTGCCACCTGCCGTTGGTTGTGCTGGGGCTCTTGGTGCGCATTTCGGTTTTGAACATCAGCTGGTTTATTTGTTTCCAGCTCACTCTGGTCTTAAACAAATCTAGGTGCATACGGAACAGCAAGAATGTCTGCATTCTTCTTACAATGTCCAGAAAGCGGTCATAATATACCATTGGCAGCAAAAATACACACTGGGCAATGTGGCACAACACTGTTTTATTTCGTAGAGATGAAGTCTCCCTATGTTGCGTAGGCTGGCCTTGAACTCCTGGGCTCAAGTGAGCCTCCTGCCTCGGCCTACCAAGGGGCCGGGACCATGACACCAGGGCACCTGGCTGGCACACTGGTTCTTCACTGCCTGCCTGAGACAAAGCCAGCGAGGAAGGCAGGTGTGAACGTCTTCAGCATGTTCATGTGCACGGTTCCTTCCCAACTCCTCTTTTACTGGCTGAGATTCCTGGGGCAAAGTCCTGAACGAGGTAAGCCTCAGTCCCGCAGCACACCTGTGAGCAGGCTACCACGGCTGCCATGGCTTCCACGGCTGCCGCACACTAAACAGTAGAAGGGAAGGTTGCTGAGTCCACGGTCGTGACAGAGATAAACTGGTCCTGGTTTTCTAAATTATCTCTCAGAGGCGGAATGAACATCTGGTCTAGTGAAGACTGATGGTGCTGTCACTGCGGTTCATGACCCTGATGGGGATGTATGAGCTCTGGAAGGGAGCAGGCAGGTGGGGGATGCTGCTCAATCCCCTGCTTCATGGAGACCCCGCCACGTGATCCGCTATCTGGGAAGGTGAGGACCCTGCCGACTCTCAGAAAGTAGCACTGCATGTGGAGGTGGGCTCTGCTTGCGCAAGAGGGAAGCCAGCCAGGTCTAAACGGGAAAGGGTGGGGCCTCCTCACTCCCCGCCCACGGCCACACATGGCTTCTCGCCGAAGTCCAACCGCACTGCCCCAACCAACCACAAACAATCTTTCCAGCTTTTAAAGTGAGTTATTAGACCTTGATATCTACGCCGACCTGTGGGTTTTAAACTCCTCTGACTCTGACCCAGCCCACACACCTCCCCACAACATTCGCCGAAACAGAAGTTCCATAGAATCCTTCTCCCTTACTACCTGTGACGAACTCTTCAATTTCCGTGGCCTCCATCCTATCTCAGCGACCAAAAACCAGCTGGCAGGACCCACGACATTGACCTCCCAACCCACGAATAGGTCACAGCCTGCACCTGAACAGCACTGACCCGTGAGCGCTGGCATCAGAAGGGTGTGTCCCTAAAAGTCCTATTTGTTACAGCCCCGTGCGAAGGAAGGGCGGCTGGCTTCTGTATCTGCGTGTGCTGCTCAGCGTGTAACCTATGGGCTGGGACACAAAGCCCAGTCCGCCGGTCAGCACCTTCTCAGGGAGCCTCCACCCTCCTCTCCCGGGATTCACCGACAGCTTCTGTCCTTCCCGAGAGAAGGAGGCCATGGTGTGGGGAGCCCACTCTGAAGTAAAGCCCATCTGGAGCGGAACCTCAGCAATTCCTAAAGTGGAAATGGTCACCAGGGAGAGGGGATGATGGCCTGGCTGATATCTCTCCAACCCCAAATTTACACTTAACTGAGGGCAGAGGAGGGGAAATCAATGGTTTTAGAGGAGGGCCCTTTAGGAGTGAATGCACAGTGAGCCCAGTGACTCCCGGCTGGAGCTGTATGATCTATTCTCCTGAATGCAACCTTGCCCACATGCCATCATCTTCGGGGCAGAGGGGCTGGGATGTCACAGACCCACAGGGCTCAGGGAGAGAGAAGGCACTGCTGGCGGCTGTGCAGGCTTCTGGCTTCCTGCGGGACCTCGGCAGTCCGGCTGGGTCTGAAAGACTCACCTGCAGGACGATGGGCAGCTGTTCGGGTGGGTTCCGGTTCTCCACGCCCATAGTGAGCCACACCTGGAATGCGGTCAGCTGCTCGGCGAAGAACGGGCTGTGCTGCGGGGCAAGCAGAGCAGGCACTCATTAGGGCCATGTTCCAGGACCGCCTGGCCCTGCCCGTCCCCGCCACCTGCCGGCAGGTGCTCTGGGCATGCCACGGAGGGACAGTCTGTGGGACACATGAAGGCACCAGAGGTGGGCAGGAGAAGGGAGAAACTGAGGGTGACTCCGAGGCCTTTGGCCTGGGCACCTGCTGGGGGGCTGGGCTACAAGAGGGGCATGCTGGGAACCCAACCGTGGATACGTGGTGCTCAGGACAGTGGCTGGACAAGGGAGTGAAGGCGCCGGTGGCAGGGGATCCCATGAGCGTGCAGGTCAGGGGGCAAGTCTGGCTGGAGACTCAGGGAGTCCTGGCGTGTGAATCTTTTTTAAGTTAAGTGAGAAAGGAAGGGACCCAGGATGGGGCCTCTGCTATGAGGACCGAGTGGGGTGGGGGTGGGGGTGGGGGTGGGGGATGCAGCTGGACCAAGAAGGCACGCGGGTGAGACCAAAGAAATGCGTGGGGTTGGACTGCAAGGTGGCATCCAGGCCCCTGGAGGGGGGACCACAAGCTCTCTGTGGGCCATGCCACATGGGCCTGGGCTCCCTGTTGGCTCAGCCATGTACGTGCAGGCACAGAGTGGAGGGGATTCACTTTGGTGCCGTGGAGTGGGTGGGCAAGGGCAGGTCTGCAGGCAGTGGGCCTGGGGCTGGAGAGGGTGAGGGCTGTGGGGGAGGCTGCTGTCAGAACTGAGTGTCCAGGCAGGACAGGGCCGGCCTGATTCCTTCCATGGACAGTCACTTCCACTTAACACACAGTTCTGCCTTCCCTGAGCCACAGATATCAAGAATTAAAAAAAAAAAAACCCTACCAGTCTCTCTCTCCCGCTACTATCCTCTCTCCCCTACGTTGTTTCATTTTGTTCAGGGGGGAAATGGGTGGCCACAGGCAGGGGTGAGTCTCTGTGAGAGGAGGTCGGGAGGGAGTCCTCCCTGCGCTCACCTGGGAGCTGTGAGCTCCCAGTCGGCTGTGCCCCTAGGTCCCAGGACGGACACGCGAACGCCAGGAGCAGGGCACAGTGCCTCCGTGAACCCAGGTCCCGAGGCGCTCTGGGCAGCCTCCACAGAGGAGCCTGGTGGGCAGAGCCCCGTGCCTCCACTTAGAAAGTCAGCCGTGAACATTCACCACGTAGGCATTGGTGCTCTGTGCAGCCAGCTTAGGTAAAGTTAATCACACTTAGGGGCAACCTGTGGAGCTGGCATGGAGCCCCCAGAGTGATTTTCCTGTTTTCAAGTGTGAATTATTCATAAATTGGTGCAGTACCCCCTCCTCCACATCCCGTGAGAACGCGGTTCTCCTGAGTTAGAGAAGCCTTGAGTCTGTGAACGGAAGTCAGGTAATTCAGGTAATTAGGCTCTTCTCTCTTTCACATTAGCTCTGCCTGATGGATTTCCACATGATGCTCACTGCTGGAGTCACCACCCCATCCAGAAAGAGAAAAATTCCTGACTGCTCACCTAAAACGAACAAAAGAGGAAAAGCACACCTTTGCCCGGCAGGTGTGCAGGGAGGTCTGCGAAGCTCCCTGAAGCCACAGGGAGGCTGATAAATTGCAGCAACCGCCCACGGAAGAGCGGCCAGCACTTCACGACGCTCCAGAAAACATGTCTCCACCTGTGACTCACACGGCTGATGCTCTGGGCCAAACCTCTGACATTTCCTCTGCCCCATGAAGAGCGCCTGTGCCAGCCCCTGTGTGCAGGGGAGCGAAGCCCCTTCAGCAGGACGGAAAGCCTGCAGGGCCCCTGGGCTGAGCATCTGAGTTGCCCGCCACGACCACACACCGGGCTCACCCAGGGTGATTTGGATGCCTGGAGTTTTGCTCTGTGGTCAGCCTGTGTGACAGGCAGCTTGGCATATTCTAAAAACAGGGGCAATGGACTGAAGATGGAAGGCCGGCTGAGAGGCTGCAAGCCGAGTCACACTTGGTGTAGCCAGTCCGGCCCGACTTCTGCTCCCATTACCCTGAGCACACCTGCTGCCCGCTGCCTTCCTGACCATCTGGACATTCTGAGACACTTGTCTATCCTGACAGTAGCACAATACACATGCCACTTATGACCAGCTTCCTGCTTAGAGAGGGGACATAGAGTTCACTGACAAGGGGACACTCTCCCCTCTGTACAGCTTGGTGTGGACACTCTCCCCTCTGTACCAGTCTGTGTGGACACTCTCCCCTCTGTACAGCTTGGTGTGCACACTCTCCCCTCTGTACGAGTCGGTGTGGACACTCTCCCCTATGTGCGGCTCTATGTTGACACTCTCCCCTCTGTACTGCTCGGTGTGGACACTCTCCCCTCTGTATGACTCTGTGTGGACGCTCTCCCGTCCGTACGAGTCTGTGTGGACGCTCTCCCCACTGTACGGGTCTGTGTGGACGCTCTCCCCACTGTACGAGTCTGTATGGACGCTCTCCCCTCTGTGTGGGTCTGTGTGGACGCTCTCCCCTCTGTGTGAGTCTGTGTGGACGCTCTCCCCTCTGTGTGAGTCTGTGTGGACGCTCTCCCCTCTGTACGGGTCTGTGTGGACGCTCTCCCCTCTGTGTGAGTCTGTGTGGACGCTCTCCCCTCTGTACGGGTCGTGTGGACGCTCTCCCCTCTGTGTGAGTCTGTGTGGACGCTCTCCCCTCTGTGTGAGTCTGTGTGGACGCTCTCCCCTCGTGTGAGTCTGTGTGGACGCTCTCCCCTCTGTGTGAGTCTGTGTGGACGCTCTCCCCTCTGTGTGAGTCTGTGTGGACGCTCTCCCCTCTGTGTGAGTCTGTGTGGACGCTCTCCCCTCTGTACGGGTCTGTGTGGACGCTCTCCCCTCTGTGTGAGTCTGTGTGGACGCTCTCCCCTCTGTACGGGTCGTGTGGACGCTCTCCCCTCTGTGTGAGTCTGTGTGGACGCTCTCCCCTCTGTGTGGGTCTGTGTGGAGCTCTCCCCTCTGTGTGGGTCTGTGTGGACGCTCTCCCCTCTGTACGGGTCTGTGTGGACGCTCTCCCCTCTGTGTGAGTCTGTGTGGACGCTCTCCCCTCTGTGTGGGTCTGTGTGGACCGCTCTCCCTCTGTGTGGGTCTGTGTGGACGCTCTCCCCCCTCTGTGTGAGTCTGTGTGGACGCTCTCCCCTCTGTGTGAGTCTGTGTGGACGCTCTCCCCTCTGTGTGAGTCTGTGTGGACGCTCTCCCCTCTGTGTGAGTCTGTGTGGACGCTCTCCCCTCGTGTGAGTCCTGTGTGGACGCTACTCCCCTCTGTGTGAGTCTGTGTGGACGCTCTCCCCTCTGTGTGAGTCCTGTGTGGACGCTCCGCTCCCCTCTGTGGTGAGTCCTGTGTGGACGCTCTCCCCTCTGTGTGAGTCTGTGGGACGCTCTCCCCTCTGTGTGTGTCTGTGTGGACGCTCTCCCCTCTGTGTGAGTCTGTGTGGACGCTCTCCCCTCTGTGTGAGTCTGTGTGGACAGCTCTCCCCTCTGTACGGGTCTGTGTGGACGCTCTCCCCTCTGTGTGAGTCTGTGTGGACGCTCTCCCTCTGTACGGGTCTGTGTGGACGCTCTCCCCTCTGTGTGAGTCTGTGTGGACGCTCTCCCCTCTGTGTGGGTCTGTGTGGACGCTCTCCCCTCTGTGTGGGTCTGTGTGGACGCTCTCCCCTCTGTACGGGTCTGTGTGGACGCTCTCCCCTCTGTGTGAGTCTGTGTGGACGCTCTCCCCTCTGTGTGGGTCTGTGTGGACGCTCTCCCCTCTGTGTGGGTCTGTGTGGACGCTCTCCCCTCTGTGTGAGTCTGTGTGGACGCTCTCCCCTCTGTGTGAGTCTGTGTGGACGCTCTCCCCTCTGTGTGAGTCTGTGTGGACGCTCTCCCCTCTGTGTGAGTCTGTGTGGACGCTCTCCCCTCTGTGTGAGTCTGTGTGGACGCTCTCCCCTCTGTGTGAGTCTGTGTGGACGCTCTCCCCTCTGTGTGAGTCTGTGTGGACGCTCTCCCCTCTGTGTGACGTCTGTGTGGACGCTCTCCCCTCTGTACGTGAGTCTGCTGTGGACGTCTCCCCCTCTGTGTGAGTCTGTGTGGACGCTCTCCCCTCTGTACGGGTCTGTGGGACGCTCTCCCCCTATGTGTGAGTCTGTGTGGACGCTCTCCCCTCTGTGTGGGTCTGTGTGGACGCGCTCCCTCTGTACGGGTCTGTGTGGACGCTCTCCCCTCTGTGAGGTCTGTGTGGACGCTCTCCCCTCTGTGTGAGGTCTGTGTGGACGCTCTCCCCTCTGTGTGGGTCTGTGTGGACGCTCTCCCCTCTGTGTGAGTCTGTGTGGACGCTCTCCCCTCTGTGTGAGTCTGTGTGGCCGCTCTCCCCTCTGTAAGGGTCTGTGTTGGACGCTCTCCCTCTGTGTGAGTCTGTGTGGACGCTCTCCCCTCTGTGTGAGTCTGTGTGGACGCTCTCCCCTCTGTAGGGTCTGTGTGGACGCTCTCCCCTCTGTGTGAGTCTGTGTGGACGCTCTCCCTCTGTACGGGTCTGTGTGGACGCTCTCCCCTCTGTGTGAGTCTGTGTGGACGCTCTCCCCTCTGTGTGAGTCTGTGTGGACGCTCTCCCCTCTGTGTGAGTCTGTGTGGACGCTCTCCCCTCTCCCCTCTGTACGGGTCTGTGTGGACGCTCTCCCCTCTGTGAGTCTGTGTGGACGCTCTCCCCTCTGTACGGGTCTGTGTGGACGCTCTCCCCTCTGTGTGAGTCTGTGTGGACGCTCTCCCCTCTGTACGGGTCTGTGTGGACGCTCTCCCCTCTGTACGGGTCTGTGTGGACGCTCTCCCCTCTGTGTGAGTCTGTGTGGACGCTCTCCCCTCTGTACGGGTCTGTGTGGACGCTCTCCCCTCTGTGTGAGTCTGTGTGGACGCTCTCCCCTCTGTACGGGTCTGTGTGGACGCTCTCCCCTCTGTGTGAGTCTGTGTGGACGCTCTCCCCTCTGTACGGTCTGTGTGGACGCTCTCCCCTCTGTGTGAG